TTCTTTATCCAAACAGGAAAATCTGCAGCGTATCTAAACAAGCAAAACACCCCACATAAGCAATGTTTTGTTTTTTTTTTTTAAATCAGAGAGAGAGAATAAACTGGAAAGCATCGTGTGAGAAGTTATATTGCTACAACTGGAAGCTTTAGAAAGTAAACTAGATGTAAAATTAACATGTAAGCTTACTGAAAAGAAGGAAAATAAGAAGTATTACCACAGGTGTTTTGGATATAAGATGCAGGGAGGGAACTATTCCACTCCCCATGGCGGGAGCAGCATGTGGTTTGGGGCACTACACCTCAAGAAAGGTTTTGAGAGAGTCCACAATAGAAGAATGGTGAATAAGCAAACTGTATATGGATCTCCAGCAAACTGTATATGGATCTCTAAAGACATGTATTTGCAGCAAATCCAGATGCAAATGAAGATGTCAGTATACAGTGGCAATGGACCACTTACTGATGCTCACGTGTTAAGAGCAAGACTTTCTGAAGAAGCCTGAAGATGCAGGATCTGTGGCATTTGTCACCTGAGTCTCTCCTTGCTGACTGCCAAAAGCGAAGCACATGTGAGCAAGGAAAATGGAAGCTCATTTCCAGGGCTTAATATGATCATAGGAAAAAGAGAGTCTGCCCCAGAAATGCTAGAATGATTAAGAAAAAAATGATAAATTCAGTTTATAAAGTGAAAACAATTGTCAAATGTGAAGAAAACAATTAGGCTGCGGTGGCACTAGAAAATATTGGCAACGGAGAAATGAATTGTAAGAAATACGAAGCTGGGCAATCGTGCAGTGAAAATTCACTCCCAATTCTATAAAATGCAGAGCATCAAGTTAAAGGATAACAGCTTTGAGATTTAGCAAAAGACTTTGTAGCCTTGTTGAGATCTGGGCAATATCAAACAGAAACAACAATGGGAATGGCTGGTAGAATACAGATGTGCAATGCAAGCAGGGGAAGCACCAGCTTGATCGTTAGCTAAGATATGTTAATGATTAAAAGAAATGGGATCCAAAACTGAACAGTCATTAGGTCTGACAGGAAGAAAATGATTGGGAACATTCGTCATTACAAAGCCAGGGAAATGTGAATTTAAAAAGTGGTCCTTTAGAATTTGACCAAGAAGTCTGGATTCCCAAGACATGTTTGAACATAATTAATATCTGTGTAGTAAATGGGTGTTTTACAAATTTACAGAGCAGAGGGTTTGTTTGTTTCAAACCACGTGGCCACATGAAACAGAAAAGATATAGCCCAGTAGTTCCTAAATGCAATAAGCCATATGCCATAGTCAACCTTTAATATTTCTTGCAGCTGACTGCCACAGCCTCATGGATGGCAGATGATATGAGATACTTTCAGTGAAGGCAACAGGCGGAGAACAAGCTGTCCTGCCTCCAGAGGCAGCAGCGGTGCCACACCACGGTATTGTCACAGCAAAAGGGAGATAATGGCTTAGATGCATCAAGATACTAACGCTCAAAACAAGTTTCCATTTTACTTGCTACAGTTTTTGTGGGTCTGAAACAAAAACTGTCTCCTGTTCATCTGCTGACCATTTCTGGCAAACATCAGTAATAGGAAGAAAAGTCACAGCTGCAAAACGTGAGGAAGTGGATCTAACACACTTCGATGCAAGAAAAAACCCGCACTAACTTATGAAAGGGAAGGATGTAAAAACAAGCTCCCAGAGTTTCTTTTAGGTTTGTTCTGACACACTGCTAGATTTAGATTTTAAAAATTACTTGTGTCTCATTCACAGTCCTGTATGAGAAGTGAAAGCACCAGAGAATGCACCAGTATGAGAAGTAAAGCACCAGATCCCCAGAAACTGAGTTCAGCATTAAGAGTACCAGCGCCTGGGTACCATCTCTTTGTGGGAGCAGGTTCAGGCTGGCTTTCTACACTGGATTTTAAAAGCTAGGTAATGATAAATCTCAGCAGATCCAAAGGACAAGGAAAAGACTGCTTTTACAACAGCAGATGGCTTGAGCCAACACAAAATAACTCCAGGATACTACTGGAGGCTATTGGAGGTTAACAAAGCACATGCTAAAACCTTTGAACATGACCAAATCCATTTACAGAAAGCCTGATAAGATGAATGCTGCCGATCAATAAAAAGAAATGAGAGCTATTCCATAAAGAACTAATTTACCTTGCACACATAATCAGAAAGAGAGAATTCCTACAATAAGAAGCAGAACCAGTGCATATGCTGGCCAGCTGCCCAGACTGCTACAGAGTTTTGCACCATTACACAACATTTTTTGTGGGTTCATCAACGCTCCAAAGTCAGCAGAAATGCAAGGCGAGAAGGGGGAAAGACTTTGGTGGTCAGCAGAATGAGATCCAGCACCGTCAGTATTAAATGGCTTGCATTTCTATTCTGATTTCAAAACCCTTTTCACCATGCTATCAGTTGGGCTTGTAAGCATGGTGCCTCTTCCAAAGAAGATTTAAGTTTTCCAGGAATGTTCACTGTACCACCTCCAAAAAAATCCTGAAAAAGGTTAAAATCTGCAGAGCTTTTGATCTCCGTTTGGAATACAGCGAGTTCGGAGCCAGCACAGGGCACTGAATCCTGGCAACGCTTCTTTACTGAGGAGCACCTTGCCAGGCAACTGGAAACTGGAAATGCTGTGCTTCCACCGTGACATACAAGCCTGGGCAAAACCACAGTACTGCTGGTGGCATAGCGATGACTCTACCGGGAGCTGGCCACGGAATTGGTTTTAAGGAGTGGAGCGCTCTTCAGAAGAGATGACTGTCTCCTCTTGTTCCACCACTTGAAGAAATACAGATGTTCCCAGGGGGAGTGAGCTTGCAGAAAGGGACTTCAAAGTAGCCACAAGCTTCTGATAACTGGAGACCAAGTGTTTTCTGTGACTGCAAAATCACGCAGCGAGCAGTCTCCTTTTAGAATACTACAGCAGAAAAAAAGGATAGGGTATGGAATGCATAAAACCTTCGGACAGGAATGATATCCAAATAACTGGTCAGATCCTGGGACTCAACTCTAAGATCAACCTAAAAATGTGCAATGGGATTTTGGCATGACCTTGTCCTAAAACTCAGGGAACAGTTGCAGAAATCATGGCTAGGGAAATGGGGACAGTTATGTGCTGGGCAGCAGGTTTTGCAGATACAAGAGATGGCCCCCGGGCTTGTTATAAGGAGCTTTTCCATGGGGTTATGAAAAAAATCCATGTACATTTAGATTAATATATAACTTCTGTGTAAATATGTAAATAGTTGAAAGTGTCATTTACAATCTATTATGCATTTGCTTTCTGATTGAATGGGTTGCTCTGGATATCACCATCATCAGTAGAGTGGGAAAAGCTGAATCGGGGATGTTGTTACAGGCTGGGTTGCAGCTATATTAAAATGATAAAAATTAACTACTGTCCTTCAATTTTAAATAAAAAGGTAAGCATATTTTTGACATCAAGCAGCTGAAACAATGCTGCCCCTTAAAATACATGGAAGTAACCACACCAAAAAAGGCTCATGCAAAGTTCACACGAGCAAGAGCCTATAACTGGCTATTTATTTTGTGACTTTCAAGGGTGATTATTTTTGCTTTGATTTTCTTGAGTTACCATCGGCTTAGTGAAGATGGTTGTTAGCAACTGCAGTAACTGTACTTTTTATCATGTCTCTGAGTTTAGTGGAGGCGATAATTTCCACTGGAAGCTTTAAGGTGAGTTTGGAAACAGGAGAAGCCACTCCTGCAAAGTGAAAAGGTATTCAGAGAAAAGCTAATGTACTGAAGCCAAGATGAGATCCAACAGATAGGGAGGGCACAGCTCCCTGCAGAAGTCGGTGAGCTTTGTATCCAAAGGACACTCAAACATTCTGCAAGACAGGTCCAACTACCTCACATCTTTGTCCAGAGTCAGCAGTCATTTAAAATATAATTGTTTCTAGGCTGGAAAGTAGCATGCATTGAATCTACCTGACCCAGGGAAATTTAAGCTGAAAAAACGGCACAGAGAAATTGGAGCTGTCCTAGTGTGGTTTTGACTTCAAAGTTCATCCACAGTCAGCACAGCCAACACCGTTCAGGTGCTCTGTCTGCTGACAGCACCGTGCAGGAAGAAGGAACAATTTCATCCTGAATGTCAGATCTGTCTACTGTGCGTGATCTCTCACTCACCAGAAAAGATGGACTGCAGGTGGACTTTGGAGGTAAAAGAAATCAATGGTATTTTACTAGTCAGCTGCAGGGTAACGGCACCTACACAGCATTAAAAATTTATCAGCATTTTGACAGGACATGTCAGCATCCTCAGCAATAAACTGAAATGTGCTTCTGAAGGACAGCTCTTTCAAGGTCTAGATAGCCATAGAGCTGGGAATCTTACAGATGTACAAGAAGTAAAGCAAAAAATTAGTTAGAGCACTAATGGGACAGAGTTCTGGAAAAGAAGGGAAAGCAGGTCATGTAAAGCTCTTTACAAGCAAATACCCAAATGTGTTGTTTAGTTACTTATGCGCTGTTTGCTTTGGAGAGGTAAACATATCCACCTGTCATGAGAACCATTGAAAGGACAGAGAGAAAAAGAAGGAGGGAAAAAAGGTAATATGTGTAAAAGGATAATTAAATCAGCTTTGCAAAGAAGTCTCACTCTGCATGCCATTCCCTGCCACCAACACCACCTCATTTTTTCACTCAGTACCACATCTGTAGGTCCCAGGCATACAGATCAGGATATGCCAAAACCATAAGTTCAATTCAAATGAGTTCCACAAGATGCAGAAATTTCTGCAGGTTTGCTTGCAGCATCACTGCTGTACCTTTCAAGACCAAAACCTAGATCTTCTGCAGATTATCCGAATTATTTACAGGGCTTTTGGCCAGATGACTTACATGGTTGAGAAACTGTCCCAAGGCTATTGAAAAAGCAACTCACCTTTATCCACATTTAACACATTCTGGAGACCATTTTCCACACATTTTAAATATTTTTCCCGCTTACAATTTCTTACCTGAAGAGTTTTGACTTTTCCTAAAACGTTCTCCTGTGACATTGCTTGGATGGCCTGTTCACTTTCTGTTCTCCCATCAGGTATAAAAATACTGTCATGGGAAAAAGCTCGACTGCCCATAGAATAATGGGAGGACCTGGAAAAAACCAGTTAAAAAATAAATAAGCACAGCAATTAATTTATGAGAGTGACCCTTCATATCATAGCTGGCCTGTTGTAGAGATTTTCCCTCCCCCTTGCCTTCTACATAAAAGCTTTGAACATTCTCAGAAGAGAGGTATCCAAACATTTTCTGCTATCAAAAGTTTAACGGCGGTACACAATTCCTTCACGTACAGTTTTCCTCCTTGGAAGGACATAGAGAGGGATGTTTTTAATAGGCATGTTGAGAAGGTCAATCAATTTTCCTTAGAAGTCTCAAATCTAAATGTTACTTTTAGGATACAGGGTAGATGATGATGATGATGCATACATGACCACGCTGCATCCTTCAGAAAGCCTGCATTCGTGCTTAGTCCCAATGCTTGGGACCTGCTGTCATGCTTAGTCAAAGAAAAACAGCAGGTCCCAAGCAAAGGTAGCACTATAACACAAAAAGAGGTAATATACTCTAGTAACCTACTTCTAAAGAGCTACCTTGTTTGGCTGATTACTTAGCTGTTCCTATCACCACGAGTATGATCACACTGGCAATAAAATGTTATCATCAACCCCCCGAATTGATACGAAGCTTATTACACCATCCCGTGTGGGTTTGCTTAGTAACAAACAGAGAGAGATGCTCATGTGTTACTGTTAAAACTAGATACCAATGCCAAGGAGGAAAGTGCATCATGAATGACCTACTTATATGGCTGCTCTAAATCCATGGGCAAAGGGATTAAACAAAAAGTGGTTTAAGTTACTGGAGATTTTAAAGGCTCATCAAGAAAACTGAGAATTAAAAAAAAAACCAAAAACGTTTTGCAGGTTGTTACTTTGGGGTTTGGGGGCATTCTGGGGAAAATGTTTGAGTTTGAAAGTTATGTTTTGTCTCGCCTAGAATTTTTATGGTGAGTGAAAAGCCAGTAAAATACAAACATGACAAAAGCCACAGTAGAAGAAATTGAACTGAGAGGTCTCCTTTTAATAACCTATTGGCAACTCTATGGAACCCATTTAGATGGATCCCCAACAGATACTTTTTATACCAATCTAACTAACACAACCTTCTACATGTGATAAAAACATTATAAACAAATACTTCAGCAAAACCAAGGAAGATGACACTTCCAGAGAGGGGGATAAGCAAAACAACAAGAAAAATTAAAGCCTCATATATTTAAGAAAATCAGCATATTACCTTTTTCAGCCTTCTACAATGTGCTAATTGTTTATAAATTGCTCAAAATATTTCTATTCATACTTTGAAAAAAAAATGTTTGGAATGTATTTATTACATTTTTATCTCATTTTTTTCCCTGGGGTATGGAAATAATCTTTTTAAGTAAAAATTATAATCTTTTCTTACCAAGAAAGAATGTTATATGGAGTTACATTAACTTTTTATAATGGATTAAATGATAGGCTATTCTTGACTTTTCTAACAAAATTTCTTACAGGTAACCTGAATATAATAGCAAAAAAGCCACCCACAACCTCTTACTCTCTCTAGTTTATATTTAAAATACATTTGCACTCACAAAATAAATCATCCAAGCTTTTGGGGAGCACACACAGAGCTCCCTATATCATTTCATCCCCCATGAAAGCACAGACTAACTGAAAAACTATTTTTTACCCAAAATTAATATTTGAACAACATGCTTCAGTTGAAACAAACCAGCACACAACCAAGCAAAGAGCTGGTCAATATTTCATAGCATTTTTAGCCATCAAAGAGGGGAGACATTTAACTGATGCTATATTCTGTTTTAGATTTTTTTTTTAAATAAAAACCACAACTTGATTGCCTTTAGCTGCTAAAGGTAATACACCTTCTTTTAGAAACCTTTTATTAGATAAACCATAAAAGTATATTTTTAAACCCTCTTCTAAAAAGGTTTCTATACCAAATCGTCATGACTCAGCCTGTACACAGAGCTGTGGTAAAATTGCATGGCATTGGAATATATCTACCTTCCTTGGCCACCCATGAACCACAGTTTGAGAAATGCCGCTTAAACAGAGACAAATTCCTAGCAGGCCTGGCTTGCAAAATGAGTGGTTTGACATGAAGCTGAGTGAAAGTCGGCTTTTTTCATACAACCATGTAGGTCTGCTTGAACCGAAAGCTCCAGCACTGCATTCAACAAGGCGGGGGGGGGGGAAGTCTGTATTCACAGCCAGAACTGAGGGGAACATGCAAAACTTGACAAACCAACCCATGCCAACCCCTCCTGCATTTGCATGGTGCAGTATGTGAAACTGCTGCAGGTGCAGAAGGCAAGGCCAGTGGGAATTTATCGTTTACTATTTACCTTTGAGCTGAGAGATCTGCTGAGGATGCATAATCCAGGTCATATTGTGCTCCAGAGAGGATCCTCTCTCAAAGATTTTTCCAGCAATACTGTGGCTCAGATACTTATGGCTTTGTCTCACAGCTATTCACCATGCACGTGACACCATTTTCCCCTTTTACTGTCCAGTGGATTGGTGTTCTTATACTTAAAATTAGACAGCTCATGTTTATCCCTATTGTTTGTTACAACTAATTAGTAGGCGAGGGTTGCAACTCAGGCACCAAAGAGTTCAGTGACTTGTTTGCAAGTCGTTCTTGACCTTACTAATGAATCTGTTAATATATAAGTTGGGAACAGACAACCTGCAGCTTTTGAACTGAACAGGGTTTGCTAGCAGTTCAAACCCCAAAACTTCAGCTGACCAGAAGCAGGGATGCTCTGGCAGTAGGAACTGCCCCATAATCTGAGTCCCTGAAATGGAAGAAAAGAGCAACTGCTGGGGTCAGTGCTGGTGGACCACCCAGAACATGGCTGTGGATGAAGATCTTCCCCATTCTGCTACAGAGCTGAGGACACCTTTAGTGATCTACTCTCACCTCCTGCCTGTGAACTAATCCAACGAATCTCCTGACTGTTTAAGATACACAGGACACCGGCTTTTGGCTATGTGAGGATTTGGGTTTATGGCTAGTGTGATGAGACTTGTTAAAATGTCATTTAAAGCTTCCTTTGGGATACCGGGTCATGTGAAACAGCTTGGGAGCTTCATGTGACCTGCAATCATAAGAACATCACCACTAGAAGTCCAACCTTATCTCTGACAAGTGCCCGCAGGGCTACCGATGCCAGATTAGGACCATGCTAAGCATGTACAGCATCTCTCTCTGACGTTCTCCCATACACCAACTGCTTTCAATTTAGGCACTTCCTCATTACATGGCATCACACATTCGTGTTTCACAGAGCTGAGGCCAAACATATCTGAAAGCTTTTGTCCGTTTTAGTTTCCTTATTAACTTGCTGCCAAAACAAACATACTCCAAATTGTCAGAACACATGAAACATTCAAAAGAAATCCCGCAGTGAATTAACCCAAGATTCTGCTCTACTGTATCCCCTCAAAATGCTTTGCAGATATACTGGATATTTCAGAACTGGGTGACTGAGCAATTCTGCTAGCCACATGTCCAATAACTGGTAAAAATGTTTTAAGAATTTTGCTTAAATTCTAGGCTAAAGTACATTAGAAAAAACATATTCACACATTGTAGTAACCTAGTTTCTTTTACAGGCAAGTTTAAATAGCATTTAAGGTGTTTTCCAGGCTACTTGAACTTTCTGAAAGGTCTCTTATTTTACTCACTTGGAGCCCACAATCCTTTCAAATCTTCCCAGCTGTGAGTTTGACAGATTATATCACAAAGGTCCTTTTTCCACCCCTTTTTTCACTCTCCTCATGTTCTACTTTCAGAAAGACTGAATTTCTTTTAAGTCATAATACAGTATGAATAACTGAGTTTACTTCACTGCTACCACCATTCCCATCTCTGAAGTTTTTCTTAGAAGCCTTTATACAATAACATCCTCACAATCCACATCTACAGACTCTGCTTCAGAAAGCCCTCCCCTCAATTAAAAGGCATGTTGACATCAGGAATGGCTTTTGATAGATTCACGGTATGTCAGAGACCTGGGCTACAGTCATAGCCATGGTTGAAGGTATTACAGTTTCAAACTGCATTATCACTTCCAAGAGATGTGGGAAAACAGTGGTGTGCTGGTTTAGGCTGGGGTAGAGTTAATTTTCTTCATAGTAGCTCGTATGTGGCTGTGTTTTGGATTTGTGCTGAAAACAGTGTTGATAACCCAGGGATGTTTTCGCTATTGCTGAGCAGGGCTTACACAGAGTCAAGGCCTCTTCTGCTTCTCACCCCACCCCACCAGCAAGCAGGCTGGGGGTGCACAAGAAGCTGGGACACAGCTGGGACAGCTGACCCCAGCTGACCAAAGGGATATTCCACACCA